AGTATTTATATTTCTGTATATTGATTTTTGTTTTTTTATAGATAATTATATATATTATTTTAAAAGACATGTAAAAAATTATTAAATGAATTCAGCATACCACTTAATTCATTATTTATATTAATAAGTTCAAAAATTATTCGAAATTCATACATTATTTTGTCCATGAATCTTATATCTATTAATTAACCCATTCTATAAATGAATTGATAGGCATAGTCTATCTAAAAATTATGAGAAAAAAATTATTTAACTCACCTTTTTTCTTTATGAATATTTTGGTTGGAGGGGCGTCCAGGTCAATTATACAATATCATTAGCAAGTAATACATAAGCATTTTTTTCACGAACATGGCGATCCTTCTTTTCTTTTCTTTTTCAAGAATATCCCAATCCTCTTTCAAGTGATCTCACTAAAGATGGATTGTGTTAACATGTCATTCTTAATATGTGAGACCGTATTGAATCCTCATTCAATCCCTTACTCTATTTATTTTAAATTTTTATTTAAATATTCACTATTATCTCGTAGTTTTTTTAATACATGAGATCTTGCTGATTATACTAATATTTTTTAAAGATTAAAATTATAAAACTTTACACAATATTTTTTAAGGATCAAAATCAAAACTTCCCCAATCTTTTTCAAAGGTAAAGATTAAACATTTCACTTAATGACTCACATGACAAAATATTATTTAAGTGGTTAATTGTCACTTACACTTTCATAATAATTATAAATATCACAAGAGTTAATCACACTTTATAAGTGAAGTGAAGATTACAAAGAATTAATTTTTTTATAGAATTATTATCTAATTCGAGAACATGAAAGATGGATTTGATGGAATTTTAAGGTTTAAAGCTATAAGAGAAGATTAGAAAGGATAAAAAAAATCTTTATAGAATTACAAGTCTTGTATATGATTCACATGTTAAATGACATACAGGGGTGCATATTTCTTGTAAGAGTCTCGAGGCTATGTTTTATTGGCCTTATATGAAAACCTTGCCGAGAAAATTCATGGAAGAATATGATGCCCGTAAGCAAGCCAAAAAAAAAGGTTATTATATTCTAGATTGCTTCAACCGCTACCTGTATCAAAAGGTATTTGAAAAAATATAATCATGGATCTCGTTGAAGGCTTGCCAAAATTAAGGGGAAAGAATACAGTATCGGTTATTGTGGATAGATTCACTAAATATAGATATTTCTTGGCTGTAGCTCATCCTTTTACAGCTTAGAAAATTGCTTAGTTGTTTTTAGATTACATCTGTAAGTTCCATGAGTTCCATGGTTTATCTATGAGTATTGTGATAAATAGGGATAAAATCTTCATTAGTATATTTTGGAAAGAATTGTTTAAGTTATCAGGAGTCAACTCATCTTTCTATCCTTAAAATGATAGATGAACAGAGAAGGTTAACCAATGTTTTAAAACCTATTTATGGTGTATGATCATGCATAATATAAGCAGATGACATGAATGGTTGTCTTTAGTTTCAATGATGGTATAATTCTAGCTATCATTTATCCATTAAAATGAGCAATTTTTAATCATTGCATGGCTATCCTTCACCCAATGTAGAGGTTAATTCTCAAGCAACTACTCCAGTAGCAACATCCAAGAAGGTGATTCAATAAAGGGCTAGATTGGAACGATGGTTGCAATTTTAACTGGAAAAGGCTAGGGACTCGATGCAACAAGTGGCAGGATATATAGAAAGAGAGTTTTAGGTGGGAGATTTGGTGTACATGAAATCACATGCTTACAATCAATTGAGTGCAGCACCAAGGAAAAATATCAAGCATGATCTGAGATTTTATGGCCCTTGCAAGATTATACAGAGAGGTGGAGCAATGACCTGTAGACTGCGGTTTCCATAGGGGGCTACAATTCATCCAATATTTCATGTATCATTACTAGGGCAAAAAAAAAAAAGGTTAGCAATAATGCAGTTACAACTTTTGTAATTCCAATGACAAGTGAATATGGAAAAATTAAAGTCAGTCTTGTAGCAAGTGTAAGAGCTAAACTCATGTCGTCGACCGATCTTTATCAATGTCTATATTTCTCCCGTGTTAATATGGTTTTGTTTTTCTTCAAGGGCCATTTTTTTGATTGATGAAGAAATTTAAAGACAAAAGAGAAAGAAGTGAAATTTTATTTTCGTTCATCAACTGCACCTGCAAATATAGAAATATTACAGAAGTCTCTATTTAGTTTCCAAATTCCAAGGCGAAACAAAATTCCAGGTTCCCATTCTCTGTTGACACATGCCTGAGTAGGAACAGGGAAAGCAACCACTCTTGTAACCTCAATGTCCCCTAGAGAGGCATGTGAAAGGAACAACACAGCATTGAGAACTAGTTCTGCACATTCTCATGAATTATGATTTCTCTTGTCAATGACTAAATCAGAGTTAGCATCTGCGTTTGCTTCTGGTACTGTTTCATTGTTTTCTTCAGCTTCGGATTTTTCTTCTGGCAAATTTACTGCGTTTTTCTTCATTGTGGCAGTTTTGGTGAGATAACTGTAGCTACCCTTCTGCTTAAACAATTGAGCAAAGTGGGCCTTGCAGTATAGGATACCATCAAGAGCTGCATAAGATGAAGGAGTGATATAGCAACCCCCATGAGAACACCTGAAGCATGACTTGTGATAGAATTCTCCCTCCACAGTCACCTGTCAAAATTTTGGTTACGGCAATAAGCTTCTTTATCCTCACTCCACATATAATATCGATCTCAATCTACTTCCGGAGTTGATCTTGGTGCATGAGATTATATTGGTGCCACGATTAAGGTACAATATAGATATCAATGAGAGTTACTCTGTCTTTTGCATTTCCATTCGAGTTGCGCAAATATATATATATGACGGACGAGGAATGAATGTTAATGAATGGGGAAATAAGAATTGTGTGTGTGTGTGTGTGTGTGTGTGTGAGAGAGAGAGAGAGAGAGAGATGGATGGATGGATGGATGGATTAGAAACCTTCTCTAATGGGTATGCAGTTTTTTTACAGAAAGCACATTTGTCTTGGGTGCCACTGAACATGGAGGAAAGTTTGCTTGGGGCCTTTTTCTGCATGATTGTGAAAACATGCATCAAACTCCAGCAAACAAACTATAAATTTCCATTAGAAACAAATTAATGTAATGAAAAAGAACCGATTGTAAAGAATCTTGGTACCAGGCAGTTTTTCTTCTCCTCATCTAAACAGTCAGAATTGCGGAAACACATTGTTAGCAAAAAAAAAAAAAAAAGTAAAATAGGGAGTACTACATCCTTCTCCATGGAACTCTAATTCCAAAAATATGTAAAAGAAACTTAAACGAAAGGAAAACGGAGAAGCGGATCTCACATGTTTGGAATTTCTTGGTAAAAGTACCGGTCTCCTTGAAGAGCTGGTCGTAATGAGGTCTGCAGTATAAAACTCCATCAATCGAGGAATAGCTGCTCATCTATAAGAAAAATTTCATGGTGGGTCAGTTTCAATAATCCTGGTAAAGGACCATATTTTCATTAATTCTTAGGCAATAACCACAAAAGAAAAGGCATGAAAAAGAAAAGAGGATAAATGAATAGAACTCATACTCCAAGAAGTCCATTGCAGTGGCTGCATTTGAAGCACTTCTTATGATAAGGAACTCCATCAGCAGACACCAATTCGATGAAATAAACAGTCTTGTCACAGGCCTTGCATTTCTCCAAGGTCCCAGTGAAGCCCATTATGTTTTTCCTGATGAATCTAAATTGAGCAGTATAGAATCTGATTTCAGAAGGGTTGCTTAGAAAAGCTTTAATGGGAAAGTTTGAAGAACAAATTCTGAAAGTTCGGCTCTTAATCTCAGAAGCTAAGATAAACAGAACTTAGAAAATCTGTTCTTACCTTTCACCTTTCCTGTATTATAACTAGCAGATTAAAGGTCAATAAAATGAATGTTCAATTGATGGACAAAAAGACTTGAACCGCTTATTTAAGCTAATGTGATCCAGGGTCTATATCTCTCGGAACTTGCAGGGTACCGTTCTAAGAATAGCGAGCTATTACAGATAGATCTGAAACATTTCCTGACCAAGTCTTTCAAAGATAGTCCTGGCAGGAGGTAACAAATACAACTGCAGTACTCTTTTTATGTGGTAGACAACTCGGGTGTCTCCAAATAGATTTTTTGCTATATCTAGCAGCCTTTCTGTCAAAAATCGTGTGTGTGCATGACAACAAAATACTATGTTAGCATCAATTTGATTCCAAAATTTGTAGGCCAACAATTCAAGAGTCTCTGCTTATGTTCTATATATATAAAATTCTGCAAGCAATGTGCACAGACGTGGTCTGTACTAGGATTATATTGAGTGCTGAAAGTTATCAAAATAAACGGATAAGTTGTAATTGCACAGATTTTCTTCTGCAGCTGTGGCATCATATAAAGATTTAAGGCGTTAGGGACATCATGTATTGCTTGTTGGCATTTTTTTCATTACTAATGCTTATTTAACTTGGAAAGGGAATAAAGAAAATTATTGGCGTAATATGAGGCCTCGTATCTCCTGTTGACATGATATTAGCCTCACATGTAATTGATTATGCTTGAAATATATAACAGTAGAATGGAATTATCTATTATCAGCTCACAAATGTAGCGAATACTGATCATGACAAGTTTATCTGAAAAATTGAAATTCGAAAAGGTTTCAGTCTTTGACATCTCATTCACATACAACTCTGCCTCTCCTTTTTTACCAAGTATTCTGGGATGGTTGAGATGTTAGCTTAAGAAGCAAGTAAATTGGGTGATGGGTGGCACATTTGTCATACCAGAAAACCTGAGCTGCAAGTAGTTGGTATGATCCATAGCAAATAATGTGTGAAAAATGCAGCCACTGCACAAAATTAAAGACCTTGAATTGTTGTGTTACCAAATTCTTCAGAACTACAGATGCACAAATGATTCATTTCACTTTTTTTTTTCTTTTTCTAACTAGGGATTCAGCTCACACCAAAGAAAATATCAAATTCAAACTCGGGTCTTGTCAGAACTTGGGTAATGTAACGCATGCACTCCGATTTACTGTTTTTTACAAATATCAAAAGACATTTACAGCTGAGCCAACTATATCTGAGCACAGCATAAACTAACAAGCCAAAAATCAAGCAAATCCAATTCTTGCAGCCTTTTCTCTCCCGTTTACCCCACTGTTGTTCATTAGAATTTGCCAAAACATCTTAGATACTTAAGAATCCAAGACAATTCCTTGGTGTGTACCCAGTTGCTCGGAATTTCGCTGCAGTTTCCTCTACCTTGAGACGGTCCTCACCTTTTTTTGCTTCAATCATTGCTTTCTTCTCCTCGGCTGCCTTGTGGAGTTCGGCTACTTTGTTCTTCATTTTCTCTGCATATTCAGCCTTCTTCTTTTCCACTTTTTCCTACCAAATCACAAATTAATCAAGACAATATTGAAATAGTTTTTTGCAAGAATATATATTACATAATTACTTTGAGCTGTACAGTTTTTATAAGTGGAAAGGAAGATTAGTCATGCTATAACTAGCAGTTGATACTTCAATTCATTAAGTTTATTACCTCATACTTCTTTATTTTTTCCTCCACAGATTCTCTCTTGATTGTCTCCCATGATCCAATGGCAGAGAGTTCCTTGTGAGCCCTATTTGAAAATTCAGCGTGTATAACTTGCTCAGAAACAAGCTCTGAAGGTCATCATCGAGTAGGAACTGAAAGCTTTATAAAACCAAGTTTAACATTTTAACTTGTAAGATTGATTCAATGCACAAATCCTTGTTTAAAGAGGACATTGCGCGAGTCTTAAGATGGACCTTAGGAGTGTATGGAACAAGTCTTTAAACGTTTGAAAACGGAAACCTAACCAAAACTATCAAGTATCACACACATACATCCAGATATTTAATGAGCATGTTTGTATTTACATATCTGGAGCATGAGCTGACAATAAACTTGACATCTATGGCAATTGTAATGGAGTTTCTTTCCTAAGTAATTTAATAGCTTAACAGTGTAGGGTTTGGTTCAGAAAATTTCTTCTGAATGTATACATTTTTATAGCCTAAAATGGTTGAACGCCTAGACTCAATCTCAAAGACTTCCAAATACATTATTTTATATTGGATGACCAAAGAGCTGGTCAATTCCTGGCTCGAATTTACTCTACATGCAGTAAAATTCTAATTCAGGAGAATTTCAGACACTAGCAAAGTTGTATAAAGTGCAATCTTGTTAAACTAAGAGCCAGTAGCTTGTTCGATAAACTGGTTGAAGCTGAATCATTTCAAGCACGCTTTTATGCTAGATTTGAAATCCCGGTGTGAGGAGGCCTACTTTATACCAATACTAAAATACCAATACTAAAAGATGGACAATTCAAAGCATTAGAGATCGTCTCGTACTTGTTCTCCGCTTTGGCTTTCTCATTTTCTTCCCATGCTCTAATTAGAGCACATCTTTTCTCCGCTTCAACCCTCGCAAGCACAGCATCTGATGAATGATACAAGTCCTTGTTATCTGTTGATAGGAAAGATATCAATTTTGATTAAGATAGTAGCCTGCGCATACCTCTGTCATTTGACCCCCTTGAGTTTTTCGCAGTAGCAGGTGGATCTGCAACCTCTGACACATCGAAGATTTAATCATACAATTAAGGGCCTTGTTATAACATGTTTAGAGAAATATTCAATTGTTAAGTCGGGCTTGAGATATTCAAAATTGCAAGCCATCAACTTTCATGAAAAACCAAATTACGAACTTTCCTTACCCTCTCTATGTCAGGAGGAACCAGAAAGCAAAGAAGGATAAGAATAAGGAGAGGACATACTTTCAGTAACTAGGACCGAGCTCTTCTCATTAGCAGAATTATTCAAAGGGACTTCTTTCTCTTCTTTAAGAGGTCCATGTTCTTGAGCTTGTGTAGGCAGAGAGGCTCCCTCGGATTCAGCTTTCTTGGGCTCCTTCTCCGCCATAACGAAGTCTTTCACTTTAGCCACCAAGACCCGGAAACCCATGTACGAAGACAATTGTCACCAAATACTTCAGGTAAAATTCTACCAAGAACACCATCTAAATGAGAAAGGAGTGTTGTAAATATAGCTGGAGAGTCAGAGTCCTTGATGGTGGTGGGTACATATGGAAGTTGGGTATGGACAAAAAACAAATATATATATATATATATATATATATATATATAAAAAGATAAAATTCTCGCATCATAATTATTATTATTATTATTATTACGAATTGAAGTCTTCAAGAATAAGAGATGTAGCGGTCAATTAGAGCTCGTCATGGCTATCGAGTTCTTCATTTAAATGCAAGTCATATAGGGGATGCTAGTGACGGTGCACCAACGATGATGAATTGAACGAAACTTTTTTCAGCTAAAAAATATATTATTAATTTTTTTTCATAAAAAATATATTATTAATTAAAAAAATAATATTTATTTTTTAAAAAATAAATTAAAAATTATATTTTTAATAAATAATAAAAAATTTATTCATTCAAATTATAAATTAAGTCGAGAAGCTGAAATAAAGATATATGTATCTTATGTTACGAGAGCTTTTTAATTTTTTATTTAATTATATAATAATAAAATTATTTAAAAAAAATAATAATTTAAACTCAATTGAAAAATCATTTCTAGTATTTTCTTATTAATATATTTTTTTAATATAGAAATGATGAGATTTAGGTTATTTACACAATATAAATGTTTTTTTATCTAATATCTCTAAAATCCCAACATGTTTATATTTCTCTTCAGCATAAATAAAAATATATTTTTTATTTTTTAAAAAATAAAAACTCATTATTTTTTTTAGTTGTTAAAAAAGTGACTTGGTAGATTGAAAGTTGAAATAACACTCATTTTCTTATTTATTGTGTTATTGTTGTTAAAGAATTATTTCAATTTAATAACTTAAACTATTAGATGAGGTCCCAAAATATAATTTATATTATTCTTTAACATATTCCCTCAAATGAAAGCTCTTCGAACTTAAAACTTGCATAAATTCACATTACCTTATACTTAATTTTTATGAAATAAATAGAAATGATGAGATTTAAACTCATGACCATTTGGTCATTAAGGCTCTGATACTATATTAAAAAATCATCTCAACCCAATAGTTTAAACTATTAGGTGAAGTCCCAAAATATAATTTATAGTATTTTCTAATAATTATGACTTTTTTTAAGTTTATTTTTTGAAAATGCGTGTTTAATAGTGCTAGTCTCTTGGATTTTTTAAATTTTATCTATGATAGAAAGGTGATTTTTGAATGATTGAATCTATAGAGATTCTTAATTGCACAAGATAATAGGATGAAAGTCTGAGGTTAGTTTAGTGCATTTTCTTTTAGTCTAATTAGATTTATGGGTTTTTCTTGTTTGGTGATTTAGTTAATTAGGTTTTAATTTTTAGGTTTGACAAATTATTAGGATTACTATTTTATCTAAGAATTAAAATAAAAAGACACATGTTTTATCTAAGGATAAGCTTAACAATGAAGCTTCATAAAAAAATGCCAATATTTTTAGTATATAAGGTAATATTCAGTCATGTTGTAAATTGAATTCCAAGTTAATTTTGAATATAAAAATAGAAGACAACAATATTACAATATCATGGATATCGTTAAATTTGTAAATGAAGAATGAAAAGACAATGTATGTGTTTGATATGATGAGTTAAAAAATATATTATTTAATAAATCAACAAGATTTATGAATGTTAAGTAAAAAATAAAATAAAAAGTTAATTCTAAAGTAAGAATTAAAAGACAGATACAAAATGCACATAAGTTATCCTTTTTATTTTCTTTTACTTGTCTTTAAAAATAATTATGGTTGCTAAGTACATATAATTTTCATTTTTATAAATGCATAATGCAAATAAAACTAATCTATTTTATATCTAATAGGGAAAAAATTAAAGATAAATTACAATAATATCGTATAGATATTATAAGATTATAAAAACCATTCAAAAACCAATTGCTAATAAAAAAAATAACAATTTAAAATAATAAGAGTGATGATAGTAATTAAAAACAAAAAAAAATATTATGAGTTGTGGGACATAAAATGTTAAGCATATGTGCTTAGCCTAAAAAGTAAAAGCTTAGGCATGTCTGGATGTAAAAGGTCATGCTAACATGTCAGGTTCTTTTATTTTAAATGAATTGATGATGTATTGTGCATCTTGGTAGATACAAATAACATGTTATTCTTTGTAATTTTTTTTGTTCATCTTCAATAACTGAAAAAGTATGGTTCGAGTTTTTAGATTAAAAAAATACAATTTTCAACTTGTTTTTACTTGAAAACACATCAAAAACATCATAAAAACCTTAATAAACTTATCTATAATCTCAAAACATTATTTAATCACTGTAAAAATCCAAAATCCAAAATCCAATCAATTTTTTTTTTCCAAGTCCAATTTACTTATTTTGAAATGTTCAAATGAAAAAACACTTTTGTTAAACTTTCATCTCCAAAACAAACTTTTTAACACAAAGCTTGACTTTTGTGATGATCAAACTCTTTCTTTCCTCTTTCTTATTTTGGTGACTTTTTTTTTCATTTAACACCCAAAAGATGAAATGTAAAAAAATAAAGTTTAGGATTGAAATGTAAAATCATAAATAATAGGGACCAAAAATGAAGAAAAAAAATAATTAAGGGACTAAAGTGAGGTTTTTCCTGCATTTCTAACAATGTAAGAAAAAAAAGGTTTTGTTTTTTTTTATGTTAATTTTGGTCTTGTTCTCTTAATATTTTTATAATAAATATAATAATATTACAATATATCTTGTAAAATTGATCTTCCATTTAATGATAAAATATTCTCTAAAACCTTGCATTTATAAGAGCATTCATGACAAAATAAGTTAAAAAACATAATGCCATGACAAGATTACTTCTTATGAACATTTTTTTTTAAAATGTAATAACCAAAGCGAAGATAACAAAAAAAAACTAAGGAAATAAGGGAGAAAATTAGTAAAATAAATAGTAAAATAAAAGTAAATAACCCTTGAGATGCATAGTGAAAGATTGTTAATTTCTTTGTTAATGTTAATATCCTTGTTAATAAAAAATTTCATCACAACTAGTTAAAAATCTAAATAAGTACCTTTTGTTGTATTTAAGAAACAAATAAGTAAAACTTGGTATCATTCAATTTAATTTTTATAAAATAATACAATTTATTAAGAAGTGATTGGCTAAGAGATATAGTAGTGTATAAAAGGTATATTTATAACCATAAAGGTTTCTCTAATTTGTTGTTATTAGACCCATGAGTTGAATTATTAGAATCTCTCGTGTAAGATGATGCTTAAATAACCATTTAAAACTATTTATTCAATAGTAGATAGGGTTGTCTTTTTAACTAATTAATAAATAATCTTTTTCCTTTAAAATAAAATAAATAAATGTGCCAAAAATTATAAAATAATTATAAATTGATTGAATTTCATTGAAAAGATATTTTTGTAATTTTAAAAATATATTATAAAATAAAGGGTCAAAATAGCTCATAACAACTAGCACCAAAACCACATTTTTAATTTTCAAGTGCCCAATTTCAACATTGTGAAAGGTTTTATTTATATAGTAAACAAGTTTGCGAACTTTATGCTCCTCCCTAACCATGATATCGCTCAAGACTAAATCTATCACCCCTAGATAAAGTCAATCTTTTCCTTTTTTTTTTTTGGTTGAGATAAAATTCTTAGAGAAAAAAGGTGAGACTTTTGGTTTTCAAAGGTTTTCACACACTTGATGGTCTACTAAAAATTAAACACGTTTTTCAATGTCTTAAAAGCTGGAGGCAAAGCTCTCCAAATTGAGATACATACTTATTCAAGGTTACCCCTCGGCTAACTAGTCTCTAAACTTTTTTTTTAAATTGAACACTTCTTCAATGTCCTAAAAGAGGAGTTTATATATAATGGTTGAAATATTTTTTAAATTAAGCTTTATCCTTGTATTACTAATCAGAACTCCTATGAATTCTCCTCATTGTATAGCAAAAGTGCATTTTTATAGATTGAGCTTCATCCAATATTCATAAAGAACATAGAAAATAGCAAGTGAGGTTCTGGCCTAGCGGTGAGAGGGGCTTGTCCCCTTCCTCTGCACCTGGGGTCGAACCTCGCCATGCACGTCTGTCACCCGCGCGGTGCCTTACCTGCTCACTGGACTTGCAGGATGTTCAGTGGGTCGTGGGGATTAGTCGTGGTGCGCGTAAGCTGGCCCGGGCGCCCCACGTAAATCAAAAAAAAAAAAGAACATAGAAAACATATTGTAAGTTTTGAAGGTGTTACTTAAAGATAAGGCTCTTTATCAATATGTCAATTTATCAATATGTCAACTATACAAGTTTTCATGTTCCTTTCTAAGTGGTCCTTATAGATCTTGGTAATCATTATTTAATATTTGGACATGGTGTTCTTCACTAGAAAATTATGACCTTATAGTAGTACATTCCTTTATTAATGATGAAGTAAATATTTTTTTAATTATTTGGGTGCACGAGCATCTATTAATATTCTAAATTAGCATTCAAATAATTTAGAAATAAATAGCTAATTGTCTAATCCTCTAATAGGTCAATTTAAAAAAGATGAAGTTGTTACTAAAACATGTCTTGTTGAGGTATGCGAAATCAACACTCATCCGTTATTTTTTTATTGGATTTATTAACCATGACAATGTTTTTTAGCCATTTGAGGTACATTATTTTTATAATGACCTCTATTTCCATTAGCTTACACTTCTTCTACTACTATTATATTTTATTTTTGAATTTTCTTTTCTCATGTCATACTAAAAAGGGGAACACTATCAATATTTAACCTGTATAATGTGATTTTTAGGCTTATCCTAAGCGTATTCAATGGCTTCAAGGCGATGTTATGGCTTTAGATTTCAAGGTTGCAAGCGACAACTCCTATTTTGGATTAAGTATGGACCCAATATTTATTATTTCATATTTGTTGGACTCAAAGTTTATTTCTTTTGATTATTGAACAAACTTGGTATGAGATTCCTATTTTTCTTGTGGGGGAG